GCGAGCGAGCCCATCAGTGACCGTGGTTAAACATCAGTGTTGTGGGTATATGATAGTTTATTCTAGAAAAAAGAAGAGATTTTGTGTATGTGAGAAAAATGTTTCAATACTTTATATACTTTTTATGCCAACGATTATTTATGTCAATCCATCGCAATTTTTATATTTGACAGTTTTACATAATTTTTAAATCGTAAATTGTAAATTAAAAATGAAGGTAATTTTGAAGAAAATATGTCAAATATAGGTTTTATTTATTGTTAAAATATCATACTTATTGTTCCCGGAGGTAATAACATGTTTTTTTTTTAACTCACAATCGTTCATCGAAATCATCTCGCGAATTTTGGTTAAACCGATTATCTATTAACGTAACTTTTTACTGGTTTTTTTTTAACAATGCATAAGCTCCAATTATTCCTTGCTAGGCAACACGTCATCGACAAATCCTGCCGATCTAATTGGTCACTAGCAGATAATTGTTCGGCATCGATAATTGGTCCAATTAATATGAACGGAAAAGTGCGTCGATAATCGTCACGCATTCATCGATTCACCGATTATGTGAACCGTGTATGCGGGTTATAGAATATCGTTACCGTCGAAAGGACATCGGCGAAAAAAATAGCTGAAACGCAAACAGAAACCAATCGTTTTGGGTGCACGTGGTAGTGAAGTTATTGAGTTTTTATTTTGTTGCTGTTCACATCGTATGATTACAATGCTCGTCAACAGATATTGAAAGACTATTAGATTTTAAGCGCATATATAAAATAAAATAAATATAATACTATATAAATTTTTTTGTATGAAGACATAATAGTTTATAAAAATTTTGCTATCATCGAGGATACAGAGGATATTAAATTAATATTTTTAATATCTCTTTTTTTTTAATAAATAGTAAAAAGTCATATATATATATATTTTAAAAGCAATTAGTATTGCGGCGAGCGTATAATTTCTGAATAATTATTTTTTTTATTACAGAGAGTCCGATTATGTATGAAACCTATAACATCGCATGTTATGTTCGATTTTTTAACACTATTTGTCTGCCAACGGTTAAATTACCTTGGAATTTTCTTGGCATACCAATCACATTCTCTCTCACTACATTGTCACCCTAACTCATTTCTTCTATGAGACAAAAATTTTACGCAATTCTGAAATATTTTTTGGCATTCTCGAAGGAAAAAGTTATTTCTAACGTCTTTTTTAATTTGACAGTATGACACATACAAGGATACAAGGATAACATTCACAACTTATTTTTATTTTCACATTTGGATTAATATCAAGCTATGATACTGATTTATAATATTTTTCAATGTTATATCTTTTTTTAAATTTTGTGTTATATGTGTACATGTGTAGTAATTTACATGGAAAGAACAATTTTACTGAAGTACCTAAAAATTTAGACACAGATCTAAAAATAATTTTGTTGAACCATTAAAGTAAATATTGCGATGAGTAAATATTGCAAAAAGTTTTCACATTCTAACAACCAGCTTGAGCGTCCTACATAATTATTTTGATGGTTCAACAAAATTATTTTCAGCATCTAGCATCTGCTAAATTTCTGTATCTAGCTAAATTTTTAGATATTTCAGCAAAACCTTTCCGTGTAAAAACAAAATTCAAATGTAAATGCTAAAAACAGAATGTAAATGCTTTTTATTTATTTTTTAAATTCATATATTTGAAAAAGATCCCGTGTTATTATCAATGTCATTCTCAGAAATAATAAAATAAAACGCCAAGGTCCGGAATACTGGCGGATGTAATTGAAAGCAGGGGCATCTTGTACAATGAAAGAACCTACGCGTAACGAAATGCATCTCGGAAGGTCTGCATTTAGGGACGCGGAGGCGTCGCATTGTTCCTCGTAGGGGTGCAGGATTATATAGGGGGGCTCGTCTCGTTTAGGGGTTCTCGGCTTGGTACAGATACGTCATGATCGATAGTCTCGTGTTGTCTCTCGAAAGAGTGACGTGTTACAATTCCCGCGTCGCGTTCCGTTTTATTCGGTAATCTACAATCTGTCCCTCGAATTCCGACTGTCTCTTATATAACAAAATTGTTTTCATAATATAAGATCAGTAATTGATGATGAAATTAAACGTATAATATTTATTATAAGATTAATAATAAATATAGAAAGAATAAAAAAATAAAAATGTTATATTACAATTTTCATAAAGAAGTTTGTATTGTGTTTATACCTTTGCCATAATTAGTGTTTTATATACATATATTAAATTGCGTACATGATAAGAGAAATGTTTTACAATAACTTGTGTCATATTTCTTTATTTGGTCTGTTGAATCTGAGGATGACTACTTGTGCGTAAGAATGTGTGTATCCTTCTCTTTCTCTCATCCTGACTACATCTTCGTTTCGATCTCAGTTCTTGGTCCGCACTCTCCGAGAACCCCCAAGCGTCGCGCAACCCCCGTATTTCTCGGTGCTAAACGCAACTACACAAGGGGCCTTTCTGCAGTCTTTGTTTTCCCTTTCTTCCCAGTGTCGTTTCGCAGTCTCGCGCGGGGTGGTCGTTGAACGACGGAAGCAGGAAGAAATCAACCGAGAAGGGCAAAAAGCCGACCGACAGACAAGAGAGATCACGCGGGAGAATCATCAAAAATATTTTCTACGTCTGACAAATGGATCTTCAAATTTGCAAAATTAATTAATAGTTTTTATTTTATATTTACAAAAACTGCATAAACAAATCACTTTGATAAAGCATAAAAGAAAGAAGTAACATTTCTTTCTTTCTAAGTATTACAACATGAATATCTGGTAAAAGTTTTATTAATTTGATCATCATGCGTGAATAAGTGATCGGACTTAATTTGTGATCATTTAAAAAGTTTAAATAGTGATGCTAAAAGTGAAACATCATGATGTTTAAAGTGAAATTACAAAGTTTCGTAGATAACAGGTAAAATTATTACAATAAAGAATTCGTGATACATTTCACATAGTGTACATATGCGAAAATATTTTTCTCAAATATTACTGTTATTGAATGGCAAAGCGAAATAATTTGCTGCGTACTGCCATTGCGCGCCACGTTTCTGTATTTTATTTTAAAAGACCGTTGTTTATTCGTGCCCTACGTACATGACTCACGACTATGTACAGTTAAAATCATTGACTGGAGTGTCAATTTAACACCGCAATCATGCGGCGCGGTGATGCAAAGCGCCGAGATTCATCTTCGGGAATCTATCTCCCCCCGAACATCCCATGGGTGCCCCGTCGTCCGATGGAACAACGACGGAGTCGAGAAGACAGCACGAGATTTGTGTAGTTCGCGAGTCGTCATCGGCGGGAGTATCGTCAGGAACGCGGTGGGTCCTAGGGAGGTTGTGCGCGCGGCGGTGAAGGGACAAAGAGAGAAAAAGGGAGCCGGAGTTCCAGAGAGAGAGGTAGCGAGATTTTTCCCCACCGCTTGAAAAACCAACCCCCCACCAGCTGGGTATCGTGGGGGCAGGCGGCGGTGGCGGCGGTGTGGAAGAGACGCGCGGCGGGCTGCGGGGGCGACGAAAAGAGGGGGCGAGGAGGGTTACCCAGGGTGGTCTCGGTGGTGGCTGGGGGCGGCAGCCTCAAAAATACACCGCAACCACACCGCGCGGCTCCACCGCAGAAGCCGCCATCTTCCACCGCCGAACCGAAACGAGACCGCGCGAGTTAAACACCCTATCCTACTTCCTCCGAGTAGAAGCTGCCCTGCCACCCGCTGAAGCAACGGCCAGGTGAAGAATCACCATCGTCGCGACTGCAACCAACTCTGACGGCGAAGGACACTTGGGATAACCCGCGATCCTCGACGCGGAAAAATCTCCGATCGGTGATGGTGTGCGCGAATCAAGATATATCTCGCGGATCGTGATCGTTGCTTCGATTGTTGCAAGTTTGAAATCTCAACGTGTCAGTGTTTACGAATTTTAATGCGTTATTTGATATGTACATATAGATAATACGTTTTTGATAATTGATCAAGATTTCGATCGACAAGAGAGATACACGTGCGCGGCCCTCGCCAAAGTTCGGCGAAACTTGGCGCGGTGAGCGCCGCGTACGGAAACATATGGTTTATTTGAAAAAGCCCTTCGCTTCTGGTATACAATTTCAGTGAAAATATAAAAAAAAGAAAGTGTGTGAATGTGATGTTATCAATTATGAGGACTGTCGGTGCGAAACAGTGTTTTAGAATACGCGCGATAAGAAAGGTATCTCTATAAGTCTGCTTGTGAAACTGACTTTTAACTCAATGATCGGATTTAAGTGTTTCGAATAGTCGCGAGTGTTCCACATTGTCTTCGATAAGAAGACGACGGGCTCGATCAAAGAATACGTAGAAACAAGGGTCGTCGAGATTGCCGACGATTCCAATAAAACGAATTTTCTCTGCGAGTTGGCAATCGAGACGGAGAATTTGCAAACGGATGCCCCATGCCTGCACCCCGCGGTAGGATAATGAAATAAGGATCAAAGAAGTCTAGGGGCCCGCGAGGGCCGAGAAAGCCGCCGAAAAGTCGCGCGTGCCTCTCGATTCCGAAGGAAACAAATCCGATTCTCACCGGAAGCAGATATCGGCATTCGTAATGTGTTCCTCACCATTGGCGAAATCAATTTATGCTTGTAACATTCTTAGATTGTTATCAAGTGTACTCGATATATTGACCGATCTTAAATGTCAAATATAACAATCAATTGTTAACGACGGAATTTCAGTTTGCGGAATAAGAGATTGTAACTTACTTAATAAAGTATATATATCACGAACGCAGACGTATCATCAAAGGACCAAGCAGCATATCGAAATTGATCATAAGAATCGATCCCCTCGTCACGGATCACGTGTATATATACTTCGTTTAGAAATCGGAAAAGTTAAACGTAAACAATTGAGCAGCCGAATCCATTTGAAAAGTTCGTAGGGAAAGGTGACATCTCAATCAAAAGAACTAATGATATCGTTCTCATGACGAATCCTTCGCGAGATGCTCGACCCGAGGATCGGCCTCCTGGCCTAGATTATCCTGATCCCAGATCAGTGCGTGGCAGTCATCAGGTGCATCAAGCAGTGAGTCAAATCAACGGGCCCAGAATACGGAGGACCCGGGCCTCGTCCTCGAGGAGAAGAATGCACTTGGCCAACGAGGTTCCACCTCAAGGTTCGGCCGGCGGAAATCATCTTTCCGATTATGCTCTCACCGCCGATTTGCTTGCCGAGAGGACACTGGATGGACTTCTCGCCGAGCATCCTGGAGAACTTGTTCGTACAGGTAAAATCAATATTTATGTAAAAATCAATATTAATGTAAAAATAATTTCACTGTGTATAATTATTTTCTATCTCGTTGCCATATTTCTATCATGATATAATATACAGAAGAAATAAAAATAAAAAATTTGATAGAAATTTAAAAAACGTTATTTTAACTTTTATAAAACTATAAAAAGTGGTTACAGAATGATATGTATAAATTCATACGAAATATTAAGCATTAAGATCTAGCATGGAAAGAATAATTTTATTAAAAATCTTTAATCTATAAATTTAGTTAGATACAGATCTGAAAATAATTTTATTGGACCATCAAAATAATTATAGAACACTTAAACATGATAACGTTGCAAAAGTTTAACTTTTTGGTCGTTCAATTTGAGCGTTCTACTTAATTATTTTGATCAAAATTATTTTTAGATCTGTATCTAACTAAAGTTTTATAGATATTTCATCAAATCCATTCTTTCCATGTGCATTCACATATTAGTCTAATATTATTTATTGTATATAAAAAAGTATTTCGTTTTTTTAAATAATCCTAAGTCTTAGAAAATAATTTTCATTATATCCGAAACGTAAATGGAATAGTACTACTTAATAGTATAATTTAATAAACTTAATAAAAACAAATTTGTGTTAATTTCGATAAAGAATAGTTTTTTTATGTTTATACAAGGTTGCCCACATGTGGTGTGCACGGTATTGCCATCACATTGGAGATCGAACAAGACTCTTCCGGTAGCCTTCAAGGTAGTAGCTCTCGGCGAGGTTGGAGATGGTACTCTCGTGACCGTTCGGGCCGGAAACGATGAGAATTGTTGCGCGGAACTACGAAATTCTACTGCTCTAATGAAAAATCAGGTCGCCAAATTTAATGATCTTAGGTTCGTCGGACGAAGTGGTAGAGGTAAGTCCTAATAATTATCAAGATAACCTCTAACTCACACAATTACAATTTTTATTTAAATATTAACGGTAAAACGACGCTTGAAAATATATTTCCTCTTTTCTCATTCTCGATTATCTTTGTATATTTGCTTTACAAAAATAACGTCGGAAACTCGATCAATTTTCCGCTGGTTCGCCTTTTCTTCCAATGTGGCATCTTAAATCATTCAGACTTCGCTACATTAAGGTGGTGCCCCGACTGATGGCCTCGTTTTTCCCGCGTCGAAAGCCAAGCACGAGCCACCACCTGGTCCCTCATTCCATCCTCATTTTTAATTCACGCGACAAATATCGTGACCCGGTATCTCCTCGCGACTGCCGCCCACTCCACGCCACGTCAGGATAAGAGAGCGCACGCGGAGATTTTTTAATTCCCGACTCCGCGTTTCAATAATTCAACGTTTCTTTCGTCCGAGAAGGCGGAACGCGAGGGCGACGAGGGGAGAAAAAATTGGGGTCCGAGGTCTCTGAATAATGCTCCCTAATAATCGCAGCCATTACGGACGGTTAATGCAAACGTTCGTTCCTTGAAGAGGAGTCTTGAAGTAGCGCAGGGAGAAAAGTAGCGGCACGAGAGAACCTAGATCGCAGCAGGAAAGGAGCAAACTTTCCAACATCCTTTTTTTTCTTCATCTCCTTCATCTCTCCTTTTTCTACGTATAGAAATCGAGGTAGGGAATCGGAAGATACGAATAACGAGGCGTCCTTTAATTCCTTTAATTCGACCGAGTTGCACCACCATTCTCTTCGTCTGCCTTCTCCTATCGCTCTCGCTTTTCTCGTCTTTTTCTGACGACGTCGAACTTTCGAGAGAGCAGTCACGGGCGGTACCCAGTTAACGAGGGGGTGGTCGACTTGTTTATGGCAAATTGGAAAAGGAAATTGCGGGGTTTGCAATATCGACGGGTTCTGTGCTACTTTTGTCCGATGGTAGACCCTAACGGCACTCTTCTTCTTTTCACCAAGCTTATTTTAACGATTATTTCAGAATACATCATCATAAATTATTTTAATTCGTTAGTGCATTTTTTCCTGAGTTATCAGCCTACTTACAAGCGATATCAAATATTATCCAAACGGCGTGTTAGGATTTAGGATACCGTTGGTCGCACTTCACATTCCTCTTAAAAAATGGAGAGATTCAAGATACTCGTTACGGAACAATGGAGACCAGAAAAGGTTTTCAGAATTTTTTAGCGAGACTCGCGAATGAAGATATCGCGGATATATAGGAAATTGTGGGATGGGATAGCGAAGCGCAAGCGAGAGGGACGGGGGTGCGAAGGGGGGTAGATGGAGGTAGAGTGGTTGGCTGTAAGCGGCTTTGGTTTCCATGGCAGTAAGCCCTCATTACTGTATTACGGGCAGCCCCTAACTACCACCGATATGCAACGATTTGCCTCTAGATTCCCTATATGATGAGAGTGATGCAAGATCGTTCCATGCGCCGTATCATGATCGCCAGATCGGTGAAGATTTTTCTTTCCGTGCATCTTGCGCCAGCGAATTTCTACATTAAATTTAAATATCCTGTCCATTGCGTTCCAAATATACCGGCTGAAAATTATGCGCGTGCGACAAACACGACAACAGAAAAGAAAGTTATAAAAAAGGGGAAAGAGAATTAAGCGCACTGCGTAAAGACCGACTATAAAAGAGGTGAACATTATTATCTGCAAAAGAAAGGGCAAACAGAGCTCGTTGAACAAATCGAAAATTTATGATGTTTGTTAGCGAGTCACGTCGCACACAGCGAGTCATATCGCTGCATAATACCACAACGAGACGAGGAACCCCGGAGTGCATTTTATATACAGATTCCTCACGCGTTCCATTCGCTTTTTTGCCTTCGTTGTTTTGCACGTATCCCATGCTCGCGCACTACTGACTTTTTCGGCTGCAAATATTTGTCTCATGTTCGCCCGCGGGCTTTGTCAGGCCAATTTAATATTGCGAATGCGGACGAAGAGAATTGATCGTGGTCGAAATGCGTGACGACGTTGATGGGGTGGCGACCGAAATCCGCGTGGTGCGAAGAAAATGAAGAGTAAACGTTCATCTGCTTGCGTCAGGTCTTGTGCTAGTGTTTGATAGATGTATCCTCCGAAAAGCAAATTAGTCAAAAGCTTAAATTTTTTTCACTCATTACTTGGACGAAACAGAGCTCTTCAAATCTCGAAAAGATATTCCGCCTGATGTATTGTTATATATAAAAATATAATTTTCTTTATAAAGATAACGAATGACGATAAATTAACATATCATCATGTCTTTCGACGAAACGTGAAATAATTATCCGGTTTCTTTCGCAGATATTAATTGACTGTTTTCCGAGAAATTCTCATTTTGTCAAAGATTAGTTGATTGTTTTCTGAGAAATCCTTTTTATTACAGATAAACACGGATAAACACGAATGTGAGAAAAACTTGGACTCGTCAAGCCGACAAATTTTTTTTCCGACTCCCGCCGATTTGCTTCGACCCTTTTTAATCGACTATAATCGCTTTCATTCGGTCTTACGCGCTGACCCAAAAGAGGGACCTCTTCTAGATGTGTGCGGCTAGCGAGTGTAACGACTACGATCAGGGGTTACGGGGGTGACGGCGGAATATTATCATACCGGCGCAGGGGCGTATATCACTCGGCCACCCCTTTCGCTCCCGACAGGGATTAGCGTCAACCTCCGACTGCTAGGAGTCACGGGCCGTACGGAGACGCGGGCTATATATATATACGTGTTTCTCTGCGATGCATTGGTGTTGGGGGTGCGGATGAGCGGAGAGCGCGGCGCGGCGCGGCGCGACGGGAGAGGGTGGCGACGGGCGTAAAAACGACGGGCATAAATACCGGAGTTACCTGTGTTTTATGACGGTCCGGCCGAGGTATAGGCAGGAAGAGAGCGCGAGAATCCGAGGGAAAGCTCCGACTATCGACAGCCAGATCCTGACCGATGTCCTGGCGCAATGGATCCCCGTCTCGCCCGTAGAGCCGCCTCCGCTTTCCGCTTCTATCTCTTTTTCTCTCTTTTTCTCCCTTCTCGTGGAAGGAGGACTCGTTTTAGATCACCGCCGCATAGCAAGCGTTGCAACATAGGATCCGAGTCCGCCGCTGTTGCGAGTGCAGATCCGAATCTTCGATATCTCCTTTATGTTTCGAAAGAAAAACGCGTGGCTCAAATATCGACACTTTAGTCACTATTATCACGCTATGTAGAATACTTTTAAATTGTCATTTTATAAACTACGCAACGATATCGCTTGTCAAATAAAACAATATATTCTCAACTGATTAAAATGATAATGAACTTCTTATGTTATATGTAAGACAGCACAAAATTCTTTCAGAATAACGAAAAATTATTCGTAGAGACTGTCGTGAAGAGTTTCATACGTGATGAAAATGATTTAATAAGTCGTAAAGGTCCGTCGTCGTTGAGAAGGGTCGACATTCGTTTTCATCGACCTTTTAAAATAGCGAATCTCTGTTCGGTCGACCGAACAGCTGTTGCAATCACTTGCCCCTGCATCGGCAATACTTTACTTTGAAGCGTGTCCAATTCACGAAAAAGTTCCCCTCGATTTGCTAATCTCCTGAATTATAACGAGCCACAGCCACTTCATTAGCAACGCTCAACTAAAAAGAGAAAAATCTGTCGAGTAAGGAACGAGAACATTTGTTTTCAAAACATAAAAATTAATAACCAAACAATTACGGTTTCAAATTTTCAATAGATTTATTTCAAGCTTTAATCAACGGCAACGTTCGAACATAAATCTACTTTTGAAATACAAAAATTAATTTCCCCTGCAATCACTTGTTCCTGCATCGACAATAATTTGCTTTGAAGCGTGTCCAAATCACGAAAAAGTTCCCCTCGCTTGGCTAATTTCCTGAATTACAACGGACCACAGATATTTCATTAGTAACGTTCATCTAAAAAAAAATACTGAATAACGGCAGTGTCTATTTTAGAAAATAAAAATTATTATTATAAAATACAAACAATAGTTTTATTTAAATTTCTAGAGGACTTATTTCAAGCTTTAACAAACACCAACATTTCAAAACAAATCTATTTTTGAAATATAAAAATTAATTTCCAGTGACAACGACGGATAATTCTCGGAAGAAATGAAACTTTCAACGTTAGAAGATATTAGCGTTTCCGAGAACCCGAATACGCCAGTTAAATCCGCGAGAGCGGTTGGCGAATCTCGCCGGCGACCACCTCGTGGCGACGTTTTTTGCCAATTAAAAATTAAAAAATCCATCCCTCGGTCAAGTAAGGGATCACAGAAGGGACTGCGAGGGCGCGGGAAGGTCGAGGAACGCACGGTTCTATGGCGGATGACTGCGCCGAGATTTTCTACCGATTAAACATTATTTTCCGCTCTGGTCTGTAGTATGAGTCGCATACGTACGTACATATCCGTTTCTTTCACATATATTAATTCCACGTTTCCCTACTTTATTTTCTCGATATTTTTCGCTCCTCATTCCGTCGCGCCAACAGCAAGGCAGGCTTTTGCAAACGCTTCAATGACCGCTCAGTCGCGCTGTCGCATCTGAAAGTCGTTATGCTCGACGTTGCGATTATTACCGATGAGAACTGATCTCCGCAAAAATTTATTCCGCACCAAGATTTCGATGAAATCATTGCGAAACAATCATCAAACGACTTTCTTCTTGTAATTATCTATTTTCGATAATGCCATATTATTAAAAATCGATAAAAATGTATATTAGCATTTATAATAAATTTTTAATTGGTGCTCAAAGTTTGTTTAAGGTTAGAAATCCTTGTAGAAATTTATTCTGCAGCAAGATTTCGGAGCTACTTTCAATAATATCGTATTGTCAAAAAATTGATAAAAGTAGATATCATTAATATTTATGATTAATTTTTAATTGGTTTCCAATATTCGTTCAAGATTAGAGCTCTCTATAGAAAATTATTT